CCCCAAAACCCCAAAAACCCCAAAACCCCAAAACCCCAAAACCCCTAATATTAAAACTAGAATTGAATCAACATAAATTTCACTTTAAACTTGAGACTTTGCCTTATACTGCTCAAGAAGGATCCCAAGATCTTCTGCAAGGAGGTTCTTGGTGACCTCTATACATGGTTTCCCGTTCCATGGATCTTTTTGGCCATCCCTAGAATAGTTTAGAGCTAAATAGACTTACTGTATCCACATTTCCATGACTTCCTTGTCAACAGTGTTCCCTGAAGTAGTGAAACAAGGTGTCTTCATAGGGTCATTTGTCTCTTTACAGTAAAGCATGACTTCAATAGAATCTAGATCTAAAAAAGTTAATTTACCACACAACTGGTTGTGCTTTTGACTCAGTATTTCATTTTTCTGTTCCAAAGCCTCTGAATTAGCTAAACCATCAATACGCTTCTTCTGGTTGGCAATGATCTTGTTCCTTCTAGCCACATCCTGCTCTAGAGCTACGATCCTATCTGAGAGGTCTTGCTCAATTTCTTGCTACAAGATAATTCTAAAAGATACCTTTTCTTCGTGTATTTTATGTTTTAAAGTTTCCAGTAACTCTACCTTCTGCTCCATCTCTGAAATATACTGGGCTTGCTCCTTCTGGGCTTTCTTTAGGTCAGCTATTTACTGTTTGTTCTGAGTGGCTGAGTCATCAGTAGTTCCAAGCTTAGATAAGTCCCATTTTAGCACACTGATTTGGTATTTATAGTAAGTGTTCTCCTTTTTGTATTTTCTGATAGATTCATGCAACTGAGTGATCTGTCTTTTGTAATCAGCTACATCTGCTTCAGTGTAGGACTTCAATGATTTTCTTGTGAATTTAAGATTACCCTTCTTGATAAGTGCCAACTCATCTTCTAACTCTGCAACCTTCAATTCACAATTATAAAGTTTATTCTTAAGCTCTGTTTTATGAACATTGCATCCCTTAATTTCTCTGTTTCTATCTTTCAGTCTAGATTCGAGCTGGCTGATTTTCTCTAAAAGCTGTTCAGAGTCGCCACTCAAGGTGTTTGAGCCTGATACCTTAACATCGCCATCATTGCTTTCTTGCTCCTCGACCATTCTCTTGAGCTCATATCTAAGATCTACAACACTCTTCATTGGAGGAAAGGTTTTGGCCTTCTGTAATTCCTTGAAGCTATTGTAAGGATGTTCTGGTTTATGATCAAGGATGTTGAACACATCCTGTTTATCAACAATTGTCAGTGAAGGAGTCAACACAGGATAGTTCATCAACTTCTTAGTTAAATAACTCCTAGTAACTTCTTCCAACTGATTTATGGCATGCAAAATAATTTTGTAGTAAACATCGCTTGATCTACAAAATCAAAGGAGAATACTTACTGACTTTTGCTTTCTCCCTTACTGAGAAGTTCCTTGATTCTATTTTTGAGCTGAGAGTTCTCTTCCTGCAGTTCTTTCACCATCCTGTTGAAATCCTGGATGGTGTCGGTCTCAGGTGATTCAGATTCCATGCTCATTTTAGAAGATTCTTGAAGCTTCTGCTCCAGCTCCTCTTTATCTCTATGGAGCTTGGCAATAGTCGCCTGGAGGTCTAGGTTCTCAATCTTCAGCTTCCTGTATGCATCAGTAATGTCACTATCTTGTGGTACAGGAGTTTCTCAGACTATTGGTGTCTGGACTGAGTGAGCATAATCTAAACAACAGAATTTAGTTAATAGACTTTTACTAAAATTCGAACACTCTTAGAAGGAATAAAAGCTTACTCAATGGTTCTTGGTTTTGAAAGTCTATCAGTGTTATACCAACAAAATTACCTGTGGCTTGTGAAGGGTTCCTTTCGATCTCACTAGACTTTTTATCCTCTTCATCTTCTCCAGAAATGAATCTTCTTTCTTCTTGAAATCTGGGCATTTCTGGGACAAGATCCGATTTTGAGCCAAAATTGCAGTTCTTTTGATATTTCTTTCTCCATATTCTTTTATATACATCTTTGACCCATATTGGGATTGGTTCTTTAAAATCTATAGAATTAAGCAGATTCTGATTGATAGCTTACTCTTTCTTTGTTCAAGCTTGTTGTGAGCATAAGTACAATTTTGACCCAGAGTACAGTTACCTAAAAATTACTAAGTCCAGTCCATATAGTCCAATAAAGCCCTTACCATTTCTCAGCAAGTAATTACACATCTTAGTCTTGTACCGGGCCATCTCAGAGCCATAGGAAGGAACGAAGGTGGCTCCTCTCTCATGCGGCTTTCTATAATCTGTGCTTCTGTATTGGTAATCTTTCCTAAAGGGAGTTTTTAGACAAGAACTATCAACTTCTCTAAAAGAGCCAGAGACTAGCCCAAGGCTGAATAAGTGCGAAAACATACTCATAGAAGTTATTTGACTGATATCTTGACATCTGTCTTAAAATTAGAGTAATTTTATAGCCCAATCTTTAAAATCCCTTATGGGGTTTTGGGGTTTTGGGGTTTTGGGG